CCCCCCCCCCCCCCCAGGTGAGCAATGAGTGACTGATGTGTTGAGAAGTTATTAGGACAGCGGTTTCTTACTATTTTTTACTGCATCCCTGCTTCGCTGGGAATGACAGACACATCCCACCATTCATAGGCCCTACTACATCAGGATTTTACAGAGATCCTGCTCTCTCCTTTACAGTTCATTTTTCCTCGTCCTTCTTTTCCTGAGATTTCTTTTTCCTATTCTTTTTTGCTCCTCTATATTTTTACACTTATCTCCTCCCATCCAGCTTTCCCTTCTCCTATTTCCCTTTTTAGTAGCTCAATTACTTTTCCCCATTCCCTACTCAGCAGAAGAGTAAATGATTTTGGGGCTAACTGATATGCAGAAGACTAAACAGTACCACAAAAGCTGAGGAGAGGCATTTGGACTGGTAGATGGGACTGGAAACTCCCTACTAATAAACTTTAGCACTAAAATTAGAAGAAAGAGGAGTTGAGAAATATTCTGAAAGACATCTGCTATTTTAACCATCAAACCAGTAAGATGCTTGCAATATGGGTGGGAAATGAGTCCTCGGCTTTCCACACTAAGCCCCTTTGTGAGCCTAACGCCCCAATACACTAAACTGTAAACTCCAAAAGGAGCACCTGGGTTGAAAAAAATTAGATTATAATATTGGAATCTTGGTGTTAAAAGGTTAATCCAATGGATCAAAAGTAAGATAGGCCACAACTCCAGGTGCATCAATGGTATAAAGAAAAAACTCAAGGGGAAAGTGAAAAGGAAACTTAAAAGTACTGAGTAAGTTAAATGACCTCAGGAGGGCCTAGATAAAAGATATACAGGAACAATTCATTCTGAACTCTAATTGAGAGTGAACATCTTGAAGGTAATCACACAAAATATATTAAAAGAAGGTTGACATTAAATGTAAGCAAAATTGAGAGGTTAATAGCAATATTTAGAAGCAGTACAGAGTTGGAGAGATTACCTATCAACATCCTAAAGCGCAGGAGAGCTTAAACTCCTTGCTGTGTCTGACAGCCTTAGAACTTCGAAACAAGGATGTTCTGGACTATGTAGGTACTTATACACCTATAGTCTACTGAAGGAATTGAGCTTAAATTGTTAATGGTAATCTTATTTAACCGATTTACAGTATAACGACATAACTTGAAGGGAAAATAATAAAATATCAGGGTATAAAGTTCTGAAATATACTGCAGTAAAATTGGGAAAATATAGAATGAATCATCTTACTTTGGATTGTAAGCCTCAAACAAAAAAGAAGTCACGGGGGGGAGGGTCAAGTGCACCAACTAAAGCAAAGGCCTGAAAACTAAATACTTACAGTCTGCATTTTTCAGTGACTGTTTCTTTTTAGAAGGTTTGGAGATGACTTTGATCCGTTTACTGAGGAACACACCGATGTCATCACTATTGCCATAGAACATTTTTACCGATAACATGAAGTGCTTTCTCTTGTCTGAGTCAGATATGTACAATGTTTTGGCTGTGCAATAGTTCTGCAGATGAGAACAGATCACTGTTTCTTTTTCAGATACGTTTGGAGTTCAAGATAACAAACTTATATGCAACTTAGAAGAAAAGAGACCATGGATGTAATGCATCCTTAAACAAAGTCACTGAAATATGGTTCTATAGCAATTCCCTAAGGAAGCAACACTACTATTTTCTGAAGCATAATGAGACGAATGTGGGAAAATTCTGCATTATTTTAATGTAAGGTATTTCTTAATTTACTCTTTACTCGTATTGCTCATTACCCAACTTCAAATGCTTAATTTATTACAGTTTTTGGGGGCCAGGGAAAAGACGACACACTGACTCATTGGGAAGCTAACAGCACTACCCAGGATGCATTTCACATAACCATATCTGAGCTGGAGGAGTGGACTGTTAACAACCAGGGATACTTGAACAAGTCCACAAGGACAATACAATAGTTACAATAAAGAGCTTTTCTAAGTACAGAGTAAGTTTTCTCCAAACAATTCTTGGTATTATACAAATGAACAGAAAATAGGTGCAGTCTCAGGAAGCTATGATACTGGTTATAATGTCGCTAACAGTAATTTGAAAAAGAAATTCTATTTATTCTACCTTTCCTTCCAAGTTTAGCTGCTGCATTTCTTGGTCGCTGTTTCCTATTCCAATGAAAGCGCATGGTTGTGACTCTTGCTCAGAGCAACCATCCCGTTCCATTTGTTCTTTTTTTTTCTTCCATCCACTACCCATAAGATACACGCATGGAGGGGGGCAAAAGAACCTGAAAATGAACAGATTTATTACATTTATGGATGACATATGGCTTGAATAACAAACTTTGCAAGTAAAATAGAAAACATGCTCCGGCACACATGAAGCCTTTCTAGTCAAATGCACATTTTATAGCTAGCAGTACAATGTGTATATAGATGTATAAACACACTTCTCATTTTCCTAAAAGTATTTATTAATTTTTAAAATATAAGATTAAAAATGAGCATTTGATAAACAGTCAGCAAGAGAAGGCTGTGCATCTGAACAACAGTTTTCCATTTCAAATATAAGGGGGCTCAGATCTAGTGCAACACCATAGGGCAGAGGTCAGCAACCTACAGCCCACTACCTGGATCAAACCCACAGAGCCATTAGATCTGGCCTGCAGACATGGGGCTTTAGCAGCCAGCACTTTCCCCTGAACTGTGGCAGGAAGAAGCAGCAGCTGCTGGGTCCTGGCATCTGCCCAACTCCAACCTGAGATGGGTCATTCCAGCCCACAGCCTGAAAATGTTGCTGACTGCTCCCATAGCGCGAATCAAAACTGTAGTACTGGAGAGACTCTCAGGTTTCTAAAACAGAACTGACAGATATCAGGCCTTAACGTTATGTTACTTTACAGATGTGATTATTCAAGTATTTACTTGAACATAAATAGGTATCTATAACACACTAACAAAGCATCAACAGTTTCACCTTAAGCAGGGAGGCAGATTCTTTATTTTTTTTACAAAGAATGTATTTGCATCTTGCTCCAAATTTACAACACCCACTTGGAAATAGATTTGTTTAATAAAAGAAAGTTACATTTAAATGTGGCCCCTTTAAGAAACGTGCCTTATGTAGTCCCTCTTCTTTTTCTATCTTCCTTGTAAACAGTCACAACAGCCCACCTCTCAGGCAAAGGGATATTATTCAATTTTTTAAAATTAATTTTAAAAGTATCACTACTCAAGTCAAAATGTCCCGTTTCTTCCTAGTGATCTTGCTTGAAAAGTACATATACACAATAGTTTTTCAAGAGCTTAAATTGTATTTAAATGATTACTTATTTTTATTATTTTAACCCTCCTTGTTGTGAAGAAAACCTGAAAAAATCTGAACTACTTGTTCCCACGCTTCCACTATTTGCCTTGTGCTCCTCTTCACACTAAACAAAGCTGCCCACTCCCACACCCATTGCATAAGGGCAGAAATGATGTTATGGTGTATGCTCTGTAGTTTGCTGGTGCTGTGGTAGTGGTAAAGGGTGTGCCTGTGGGTGAAAGTCAAGGGTGGGTATTGTTAGGTGATTTAAGTTTTCATTTCCTTGTTTTTGTGGGTTTATAATCTCAAAGAAAAATAAAAAAAGAAGATAAAAATCACTAGTTGACCACAAAACTTGCATGTGAATAAACAAAAATTGGTTAGTATATATTCACAGATCTTTCAAAATCTATTTGTCACACCCCCCCTTCCCAAATATACATATAAAATATGAAAAATTTAATCTGTCTTTACAGTGAAGGAAAACTGGTGTTTCCAAATGTAAATAACTTTCAGTTTCTTTTGTGCACAAAAACTTGTCTTAATTCCTTTTGGTTTCAGTTCAGCCAGGAAGTCCAGAGAGACTATTTTCTTCAGTTGAACAAATTAATTCAATGCTGAAATGCCATGTGACAGTTGGGAAAGCAAAAAAATTATTTTCCTCTTTCAATTTGTGAATAAAAGTCACTGGCGGAGATGATTAACTCTATAATTCTAAAAAAATCATCTTAAAAGAGTTTGGTTCTTGATCTGGTTAGGCACTTTTGAAAATGTAATAATGTTCACATGTACAACTTCGGACACCTCAACACATGTGAAAAATTTAGCCCAGGCTAACCAGAAATTTATCTTCAGTTTATTGACTGCCATTCATGCTTTTGTTCAATTAATTGGTTTAATTTATTTTTCTTATGTAAGCAGCACTTATAAATTTAAAATTCTCTTTATACAAACTTAATTTAATTCCAAGTTTCATCCAACATAAGCTAGACTCAATGCCAATAAATAATTATGATCTAATAAAATGAAGAATAATTTATCATTTTCTAACATAATAAAAATGTGAATGCCTGAATCTGAATAAATATGTTAACATTTAAAACTGTTCCAAAAGATGTGCAAGGATATCATATATCTCCTCAAACTGGCTAAGTAAAGTACCAAATTTAGTATAAACAATGTATCTGATTTCAAAACAAACATATTTTAATATGTATGCTAACCAATGAGAATTAGTTATTTTTCTTACAGAGAATTTCAATCATGTGTGGAAAACAACATTAAGATACTTAAAACAGTTTCTTGTTGTTATACTAAATCACAGGGGAGAAAAAATGTTTAAAATACATATTTAAATAAATCCACACTGCTTTCTGAAACACAGCACAACCTAATATGCACCAGTAAAGCATAAATCACAACTGCAGCCTTTCCAAAGCTACAACAGTTTTACAGATTATCCCTCTTTGGCTTGAAATTCAGTCACTTCCTGTGAAGTACCAGTATGAAGCAGCTCTCAATAAGAGACTACCAGAACTTTTCAATTGAGGACACTGCTTTCTGGAAATATCACTTCGTAAATTAACTTCATAAACAGAAACTCTTATTGGATATGGGGTCTGTAGACAGACATCTGACCCTAAAATTCCTTCCTGGCTCTAAATATGGCAATCAGTCTAACTCTGAGTGGAGGAACAAGATCCTTTAGCCAGGAAACTCTAGGTTTAAGTCCCAAAAGAAGCACTGGCACACCACATTCAAAATCCCTAGCCTGGGCTGCAGCCAACCCTTGATGCAGAAAAAATGCACAGAAAAATACATAAAGCCCTTGATATACATAGCAGCAAGGAGGTGAAAAAATTCCTTCCTATCCTGCTGCTCTGCTCACCCTACCTCTAGCGGGTGGTTTCTGCTTCTGATTTTGCCCCTCCCATGCTGTGCTGCACCACTCTGAGCAAGGAGCTTCAGCCAAGTGGCTCCTGCCCCAGCTCCCAGCCAGTGGAAGTTGCTTCTTCCAGTGGAAGACAGCCAGCAGCTGGAACAAAAGCCCTGCATGTGGAAGCAGGAGCCACTCGCCTGCCACCCCCAGGAGCTGCCGATGGAGGCAAGGGAAGCAGAACACCACCTGGCTGCAGCCACACCAGGAACAACCCGGCTGGAAGCTGCTCCTGATCTTACCCTGCTGTGCCACACTGCTCCTGCCCCAGGACACAGGGTTCTGGCTCTAGCTCCCAGCCTTCTCAGGTGTTGGAGCCCTACGCACTGGAGCAGGAGCTGCCCAGCTGAAGCTGCCTGCCTGTCTGTCCAACTGGAGTGGTGCAGCACAGCATGGCTGAGGCAAGATCAGGAGGAGGAGCCACTGCTGGAAGCAGGGAGAGCAGAACAGCAGGACCACAGCACTGACTGCCCCACAGCAAGTTGGCAGGGCTTGGCCCCATGTGGAGCATCATGGGAGCAGTGCAAACTGCACCACCCAAGTGAGCTTTGCAGCACACAATCCCACCCCCTCCTTTCCTTCTCCTCACCCAAAGCAGGCTCCTGGGACCTAGCACCCAGGCAGCCCCCATCACATGCACGTGCACACACCTGCCTCTCCATCCCCCAGAGCCATCACTGCTCTGTGACCCAGCCCTGTAATCCCAGCCTTGTCCACCCCTCCCGCTCCTGAATACTACTCCCCATCTGCCTGCAGTGCCATAGGGAGTTTTGGTAAGCTGTTGCAGCAGGGGGGTGGGGAGAAAATGCTGACCCAGCCTGTGCCAACTCATCAAAACTCCCCTACATGGCCTTCAGATCCAAATAATTGCCCACCCCTGATCTATAGGATCCCAAGACAAAAGACTTTTTCCCCAGGAGAAATGCAATGCTTCTTTACAGCCTAAAAGTAATACCAATACTTTTCCATTTAGGTACATTATTAGAAAATATGTCTATCTGGCCCCTTTTACATGTTACAGGTATTGCACAATTAACTGTTTAAATGCACAATTATCTTAAGACCAGCTCCATGTGCAAAGTAGCCAACATTCCATAAAAGACTCCAACCACCTACAAAGTTAGACCTCAAAAACGTCTACCAACTTTAGAGCTGGTTCCTATTAAGCTTTAATTTCCATGCATAGCAGGGTCTCCCCTGTGGGTGGTAGCCCTGTCAGTCACAGGGGTACACCAATGCCCAGCCAGGGCTGGGAGTTCTGCAACTGAGGGGACTCTTAATCCCAGCAGCTGCTGACTCTGGGTCCTAGCATGACAGGGACCCAGCATCTTGCAGCTGTGGATGCTGGGTCTCAGTTGTGTGAAACCCCCAGGATGAGGGATCATGATGTGTGCCTGGTAAACATTATGACACAGGGCCCCAAATAGTTCATCCAGAATCCCTCAGCTGCCCTGCACCTCATCTGCATATAAACTTTTGGAGCATGCCAGGACTCATGATAAGAATGCAGGTTCCAGTAATGAGAGGGGGTTTAATTAGCACATGGATCCTTGGGGGGGAGG